TATATATATATATATATATATTTGTTGAAATATAAACAATAAAAAGTAAAATTTTATAGAGATGACATACAAGCATTCATGAAATGTTGTTTCCCATATGCTAGCTAGTAGATGGAAGATACCTTAGCGCATTACATGCCAAAAGGAAAGTAAAGAAATACATAGCATGATTGTATTTTATTCTGCTGACACAAAAACATGATGGGTGCAATTGATGATGAGCACAAATATTAGCTAGATGTGATTGTTGTAGGCTTCCCAAGGTTTTCCCAATGACTGAAATTCTGCAAATTGATGCTGCAAACAATTTCATGGATGAATGATCAGCAACATTACCAATGAACTTCGTATGTAGAAAATGCATGGTTGTCAGTGAAACAGATCAACATGCTAATGGTTAGAGTTAGACCAAGCATGCATAAAATAACTCAAGGATCTTTCCAAACGCCAACATATACAGAAAAATCTTAACTATGTGCTAATTTATGTGTCGATAATCAAGGTAGTATTCTAGAGGCACATGTTAACCTTGTCCGAAACTTAAGTATGTGCTAATTTTTTGTGCAAGTGAAGTTAAATATGAAAAATTGATTTGAACTTACTTCGTGAAGGATTCCAGAGTTGCTGAGAGAATTGAAGATCATAGTAGTTGGACTCCACTTGTTCATGATCACCAAAGAATTATCTTCATGATGAGCCATGTCCTCTACGGTTCCCAAATGCTCCTTTGCGTGAGAACTTGGTTCTTCAGGCTCAGGAAGGTGCAAATTCAAGGTGGGATGGTTCACGCTTTGGCTCTGAGTACCCGCAGAGTCTTCAACCGTTTCAAAGGGGTTCCAATTAGAACTGAAACGGTTCAGGTTTGATGCTTCAGCCAACACTCTCCGAGTTCTCATCTTCTCTCTTGTTCTTTCTCTCGCTCTTGCTCTTGCCTTTTCCCTCGATTCCTTACCAATAAGATTGAATGCACTCTTTCTACAAACCTTGCTTGTTCTTCTCTTGGCCCCTTCTTGCTCCTCGTTAAGTTCTCCTTCTCCACTCACTACAACCTCGTCCAAGCTAGACACCCCTTCGCATTCCGAAGTTGATGATGCACTCTTGGCACCACCAACACTGCTTTTCTCTCTCGCAAGTTGTTTGATCTCAACCTTTGCTTGGTTTAGTAGCCACTCCACGGTTTTGCTGGCCTTGTCAAAGCCTAGCATGTCTTGCAAGCCGAAAAACCTCTTTGCAACTTCGAGGGACAACCTCATTCGTCGATCCCTCAGTCCTCGTGCAGTGTTGATCTTGCTGTGCCGGTCTCTCTTGCAAGATCTCTTCCTTGGAGTGTGCTCCATCGCGGTGGCGCCGCCGTGTCCGGCGCAAGGAACCGGTTCGAGTTCGGCCACAACGTCAAGGTTTTTGATGAGTCCAGGATCAGCTGGAGACTGGTGGAGTAAGAGCAAGTCATGGTGGTGTTCGAGGAAGATATTTTCGTCAAAGGGAGATTGGAAAAAGGACAAAGGAGGAGGAGGGAGGGCGTAATTGTAATTGGAATTGGTGGTTTCTTCTTTTGAAGAATTAGTTGGGTTGCTTTCAAAGGAAAAAGGCCTAAAGCAAAATGGTTGGTTAGGGTAGGAGATTAGGTCATTGCCGTTGAGGGAGGTATTTGAGGGATACATATCTGGAATTAATATTAAGCTTGGGACTGCACCAAACTAACCCTACCCTTCAAGGTGGAACTGGTAATTGGTTGGGACTTTCAATGCCTGAGAACGACATGTTCACTATAGCTCTCTCTTCCTATTGAAAAAGAAAGAGCAGCTATTAATTCTATCGTTTTCCATCCTTTCATTTTTGTTTTGCCTGTTCCCTGCAAGTAAACGAAAACATAACATAATTTGATGAGAAAGACAACCAAGTGCTACTAATTAATACTAGTACTATGTCTTTTACTTTCACCTAGGGTGAGTGAGTGAGTGAGAGGGACACGGCTACGTTTATGATGCACCACCGTATGTGTATGCTTACGAGAGAGTGGTGCCACAGTACAACTGGCTTGCGAGAGCAAAGTTGTGGTACTGTGTGAGAATGACAGCACATAGACAACAATACCTTATAAGCATGAGGATTGAATTATGAGAGAGGGAGAGTAGTAGTTAGTGAGTACTAAAGATAATGTGAGAGACAAAGGATCCAACAAGAGCAATTTATTGTAGACAAGGGGCATCCTTTTTCTTAATCGTTTCTTTTGAGCAAAAAGTTTGTGATCTCTTTAGGACGATAAAATTGCGAGAACAAGTGAGTGGATAGGAAAAAAGTTTTAGTTTGTGCCACTTCACGTGGTGCGCACAGCACACACACACGCGAGTTGACAGAAAACTAAAACCAACTTCCTCACCCCTCACTCACTTCATCACACTATACACACCTTTAATTTCCTACTCTATACCAAGCTTCAATTCTCACAATATTGACTAACTTAACAAAGAATTTTCACAAATTTATAAAAATATCTTGTAATCTTTCCATAGTCTAAAAAAAATGTCGAAACAATCGTGTTTCATGATCAATTTTGTGGAAAAAATCGTGTAGGATAAACTAACTCGTACTGGATAACTGTTTGTTGAAAGGTTACTATTTGCGTTCAACCTTGTCCCACAGAGCATGGTGCGTAGGAGTGGGATGTCACATGCCGTGACTTTTTATGGGAAGATTCACATAACTCAAATAATTTCATTTCTTCTTTTTATTCCCTTTGTCTTTGTTAACTATAATTTTGATTCACTGGATTAAACCTCCACGTGTCGGTGTGAATCTAACCCTAAAAGTAGATAATGGGGGAAACAAAGTACAATTATTTCCATCCAACGGGCTTGCAATGGTAGCCAATGCTCCCTTTGACTGGGGTTCCTCAAGATGTCACTTTCTCCAAAAAGAGATGCACCATCACTCTCACAAACTCTCTCTCTCACATTGCGTTGTGTTTGTGGTAGATATCAATGTATGTATCTATCTATCGATATCAGACTATTAGACAATGTTGTTGTTGGTTTTCCTTCCCATGCGTGCTGCGTGCTTATCGGTTTTGCTTACTTTGGTATACATATATATATATATATATATATATATATAGATCGGAATAGGAGCGGGACAAAAAAACCCAAACCCCGTCAAAGGCTGAGATGGATATCTGAATTTTATTCCCAATGTATTTCAAGGATAAAAACGATTTAAATTTACGAGACAAAAAATATAAAATCTGCCCCCATTACCATGCCTAAATACAATGTTAAAGAAAATCACCATCAACCCATTTTTTATTAGGGTAATTGTAGTCAAGGAATCAAATTCGATCAGGAAAGTTCAAAATCCTCTCCCCAAAACAATTGCAACCCCAATGAAGATCGCCCATAATTTTGCATGCACAACAGACTAGAGCCCAATGTTCACTAAAAACATAAACAAAATCGCGACTACAAAACACACCACCACCACCCACCCCTGCATATAAACCCATCAAGTCATTAACCTAGAAGCATGTGTTGTCCGTACTTAATAGTGACATTTTATATATATATATATATATAAAATATATATATATATATAGCAAAGTAGGTTCTTTCACTCTCTTTCTCTGTCTACCTCTCTACGAAGAAAGATAGAAATGGTTGTGCACTTGTGCCTGTACTTGCCACTGGCATGTATATATGTAGAGTATGACACCTTCCAAGCCCTAATAACCAATTGCAACTTGCCATAGATCCATAAACACCCCATGATCTCTCCCAACTTGTTGTCAAAATGGCAATAGTCCATCCACACTTGAAAGCACTCTATATAGTACACCAAAATTTTCTGTTTTTTCTCCCTTTCTCTTTCTGTCTTTCCAGTTATACATGCCGTTCTCCCCACCACTTGTCTCTCTCTCTCTCTCTATAGCTATAGCAGTCTCGATCAAGACCACTTTAGATGGCATAATTACAAGGACCACACGATACATCGCAAAGCAAAGGGTTTGGTCTGGGGTTGTTTTCAAGCAGGAGATAACTATGACAAAAAAGCACTGGTGAACTTGTGTAGAGTACATACATATGTTGGAGTGCTTGATTGCGAGAGCACAATTATCCTTTATATAGTCGTGGTTAAATATTCTCAAAATGCTTTAATTTCATTTCCATGTGTTCTGGATGGTTTTTTTTTTTTTTTCTGTCTGTACTATATTAGGAAAAAGGAACAAGAAAACGTTTGTGGTTGAAATTGTAAACTTTATTTTCAACTCATTTGTTTCAAAACTTTCCTTGTTTCTTTCCCTTTTTCTTCCTTATTGTAGAGAGGCATTAATTTGTGGGTTTTAGTCTTAGTTGATGAACCATTTATTTATTTATTTATTTATTTATTATTATTATTATTGTTGTGTGTGGGAGCAACCCAACTCACTTGTCCTGTACAACTAGATATATATAGACAGAAACACAGATAATTAAATAAATAGATAGTTTATTATATTTATATGTATGTATGCATGTATATTGTATTTTTTTAGAGAAAAAAAAAAACTGACTTTGTGCAGAAACAAATTAGGACGTTGATAGTGAGATCTTAGCTTTGTTACTTCAAATATAATGTTTCCTTTGACGCAGAAATTAGTTCTAGCTGTACTAAGTTTTGGGGAATTCATATGGAATTCTGATGGATGATAGGCCTATAATTAATGCATTTTATCCTCATGTTGAAAATATCTGAAGTTCATGAATTCCAACCACGCATGTATGATATAATATATACATGTGGGCCAGAACAAAGGACACATGCTAGTCATTAGGGCATTAAATTAAGTAACACAAGCTATTCTGTTAACTTTTACATACACAGAGGAGGGAGGTTGCTATATTTTTCATGTTGGAGTATTCCATTGGCTTTTCCCCTCAACATCAGAACTTGACTAGGTTGTTTGTGTTCTGTGGAGTAACTAGATACCAAGATAAAATTGTTTGGTTCTTCTTTTGGATTTTTTTGGTTGAAGCTGTATTCATTATTGAAGTATAGCTTTTGACAGAAAGCAGAAAACATAAATACCCATCTTCGTCCATTATGAGAGGAACTTGTCTGCTACCTAGAGTTTAACTGTAATTAATTGATTTGCAAGAGCAAGTTCTTCATTGTTTTTATTATATTATCTTTTCTCTGCTATGATTTGATTAGATGGCCCTAAAGTTTCTTTCACACCTTAGGCAACTTTCCCAAATCAATGTTAATTGGTAGGCCCAATGATTTGCTGATTAAAATCTATACGCAGTCGTTAGGGTTACCTCCGATGGTAGAATTAAAGAGAAGCGACAAAAATTGTACTGTGGTACTTTGTCGAAAGCTTGTGTTGATTGGTTGTCTATAATTAATTACCAGTACATATCTTTGTATTTTTACGAATGCTTTTAAATGTAAATAAAAGGTATATAACAATATAAGAAATTTAGGTTGAGAACAGCAAATTTTAACTATTTATAAGATAATAGTTTCAAAATACATTTTACTATTATTCTTGTCTTTGAGGTATGCCTTTTCAAAGGTGAAATTAACATTTAAATTTGAGTAGTAATTAGGCAATGTCTTTTTAAATTAATGGTTATGTGGCATTTTGAACCCAACATTTGGGATAATAATGTCATGTTCCCCTACCTTTAACTACTTTGAAATTAACATTTAAAATTGAGTAGTAATTAGGCAATGTCTTTTCTAAATTAATGGTTATGTGGCATTTTGAACCCAACATTTGGGATAATGTCATGTTCCCCAACCTTTGACTACTTTTGGGTAGAATATAGGTAATTGATTTGAAGAAAAAGAATTATAATATAAAAAGAGAATGATAATATAGTGAAACTTAAATATGTTTTTATTTCTTAATTTTAGGGTAAAAAATTTTTTTTGACTCTTGTTTTAAAATTGATTATTTTAGTTTTGTATAATTTCAAAACAAAATTGATTATATATAAATAGATAATTGATAGTGATAAATTGATATAATTATAAAATATTAATTAAATTTAATGTGATATTTTTACTGATAAAGATATTAATAAATAATTTTTGTATAACGGTATTTGATATTCATTGACAATATTTGAGTAAATGAACTAAAAGATTGTTTTTGAAATAACATGAACTTAAAAATTGTTTTTAAATTTATGTAAATAAAAATAAATATATTCAAAAATTTGAGTAATTAAAAACATATTTAAATTTAAAAGTTCTTAAAGGTTAAATTTGAGAATTTAAAATATTAAAGTAAAAAGGAATTAGGAAAAAAAATGTGGTAGATGGTAATACAATGATTGTAACTTTATAGGTTAACTTACGTCCCTGAAGGATTTGTAGTTGTATTAATGGTAACATTGTACTCAATAATTTATAGCAAAAGCTGTATTAATTGAAACAGGGTATGAGGATACCTAAGCCACAATTTTTCAGAAACTATATTTATGCAAAACTGAGCAGTAGCTAGCATCAAAGTTCGATACATTCTAATGGACGTAACACCAATTTGAAAATTGCAATCAAACTCTAATACCATGAGGGAATTAGAGAACCAAGATCAAGATCAAGATCTAGTTGCAATCGTGTCCTAAGTTCTGCATATAATCCTCAGCTAGCTAGTTGAAATTAGACAGTGCGTTGAGTCCATATATAGACCAAAAAGTAGTGAACCAAGGTAAGTAAAGGTGTTTAACCTGCCTATCATTCACTAGGCCTCTATGCTGCAGAAAATTATGTTATATAATTTCATGGAAAGCTGTTTAAAAGTCAAGCCTAGCTAGAATAAAAGTTAGACCACAACCTTACTGGAAAAGTGGGATATATTGACACAATGCAAACCACTTGCTGTTGAAAAGAAGTGACATAATTACTTCTTAGAGTACACATCTTTTCTAACACATCCAGCTATTATTAGTTGAAATATATTAGAAATTATAATATCATAAGTAAGGTTCATTAAATAAGAGAAAGTTCGATACTTACAAAATTTTGTAATTTTTAATAGGTTTTAGTCTGCAATTAATCATTTCAGAACAGTCCATTAGAAACCGTGCAGTTAGCATTTTTTTTCTTCTTACAAGTAAATTGAGTTTTATTGGTAGCATGTCTTATGAAGGAAACATGTCACATAAAAACTAGCAATTTCAATACTTCCGCAGATTCGGAAAACTTGGAATCAGTTGTTGGCCATGGACTTTGTGTCTCGCTAGGAAGATTATGCATCTAACGGGGCTCTAATATACAGCATACTCCATCAATCCCACTAGTTTTAACTTTCCTACTGCGTGTTAGTTCAAAATTTATATTGTACAATCATGTTTAATGGACTAAATCTCTGTTCGT